TCGTGCCTTCCACACAGCCATATGCGCCTTCCTCGCCGCCGCCCTGCTCCTGCCCTTGCTTGCCGCAGCCGACTATGTGCCGACAAACATCACCGAGACGCCCAACTTCCAGCTGCTGCCTGGCATCGCTTCGGTACCAGCACCCGTCACCGTCGCGCCGGACCAGAACTGGCTAGGAGTCGACGGCTCATGGAACACCTTTACTCTGCGCGTGGGCGAAACAGGGGAGAATGTGCGCGTCTTTGTGTCGACTGCAAGCCAGCAGATATGGGCCATCAATCGCATGGCGTGCATCACCAACACCACGAGCCCGGTGACAGGAGAAATTACAGCATACAACGTCTTCGACTCGGATTGTGAAACCAGCCGCGGCTTCCTATTCAACAGCAGCAACTCGGAAACATGGCAGCAAAAGGGCTTCTACCAACTGTGGATCGAGAAGTATCTCGGACTGGTCGGCAATGGATTGTACGGCTTCGATTCGGTGGGTCTGGGGAGGGCCGGGGAGATGGGGCCCTCAGTTCAGAACACCACGATCGGCACCTTGGTCACCGCCAACTTCTGGCTCGGGCATATAGGCGTGCATTCCAAGTCGACCAACTTCTCCGTCTTCGATGAATCCGTTCCGAGCTACCTAACCACGCTGTTCGACCAGAAGAGCATCCCCAGTTTGTCTTTTGGCTACACGGCAGGCGCCCAGTACCGTAAGACATTACCACGTACTCTCGTTGCAAATCACTAATTCGGACGCACAGGTGACCAGACGGTTCTCGGAAGTCTCACGCTTGGCGGCTACGATGCCTCTCGCCTCATTCCCAACGACCTCACCTTCATCTTCGCCCCGGACAATGAGCGCGACCTGGCGGTTGGTGTCGTCGGCATCACGGCAGATACCACGTCGAAAGGAGATATTGACCTCCTCATGAACCGGGACGACGTGACCATGTACATTGATTCGACGGTTGCAGAACTCTACCTGCCGGTTGAGATATGCCAAGCTTTTGAGGATGCATTTGGACTAAAGTACGATGAAAAGACTGATCTCTACCTTGTGGATGACGCGCTTCACCGGGATCTCGTCGCGCAAAACCCCAGTGTCACGATCACTATCGGCCAGAAATACAGCACGGATTCGACTTTGCAGATCACTTTGCCCTATGCTGCTCTAGACTTGGAGGCGACTCCTCCGTATAGAGGGTTGCAAGAGAAGACAAAATACTTTCCTATCAGACGAGGTGCGGAGGCGCGTCAGTGGGTACTGGGTAGAGTCTTCCTGCAGGAAGCCTACTTGACCGTAGACTGGGAACGTCAGAACTTCACCGTGTCAGCGGTGGACTGGACATTTGGCAAAGCTCCACAAATCATGCCTATCGTGTCGCCCACCTACGCGGTTCCGCACTATGATCCCCCAAAGAAGAAGCCTTTGTCTTCAGGGGCAGTCATTGGTATCGCAGTGGGAGGTGGCTTCTTCGTTGCTCTGATTTTCTGCGCAATTGGGTGGTGGTTCTGGCGACGGCGGCACAAGCGCAAGCTGGCAGACATCAAAGCGCAATACGAGGCCGATGTCGCTGCGGCGGCGGTCACCAAGATGGATCCACCCGTGTCAGAGGAGGCTCCGACGTCTCCAGTACGAAGTAGTACAGAAGGCGTGACTGTCTTCGCGAAGGCCGAGCTACCTGGCTCATCCCATGTGCATCACGAGATGAGCTCCAGCGCAGAAGAGAAGGGATCATCAGCCGTGCATGAGGCAGATGGCGAGGAGCGTCAGATCTATGAGATGCCTGGAGACATGCCTGTGCTTCCCGAGGCAGGCGGCCGTCAACTGTCGGAAAAGGAGTCCATGGTGGTACGCGAGAGGATATATAACGGCATAGATCCGACCGGCACGCCAGACGCAACCCCAGCTGCGTACGAAGAGTCGCGCAGGCTCGCACCAATATCCCCGTCCGAAGTGTCGATAGTGAGCGGTCGGCTTCCCACCGACAACGTGTCGCCCATCACACCACGCACACCAAGAGACGGTGCTTTCTTGGAAGCCTCGGACACATTTTTTCAATTGCCGCCCTACCGTGCTCGCGAAGAACGACGCGCCGAGTCGGATGGCGATCCCCTTTCCCCCGTCTCGCCGCTGGAAGGGTCTACGGATGCCTCCCGACGGCGGTTCTCTTACGAGTCATGAGGCCAAAAAGCTGCTTGTTCAGCGACGTTACGACTGGCGTTTATTTTGTTTGGCATAAGTGGCGGGGTTATCTTGGCACCACGGATATGGCGTTTGAGAGGGAATAGTTTGAATTGTGCATAGCAGAGGCTGAATACCCATCTAGACGGCGGCACGTGGTAGAAACGAGCAGCCACGTTTTGTTAGTGTATATAGTGTAAATACACGCTTTTCGCGCACATGGCGGCAGACCCTGAGGGGACCATGGATTTGTACAGGTGCATGGCAGCCAAGTGGAAGCGCTAGGCTCATGCGTTCATGCTGCACATGTGTCGGGCTGGCCGTCGGCTGGCTAAACGGTCGCGGGCCTGCAACGGGCAATTGTCCTGATTGTAGGGCAGAGCCAGCGGCGCGGGCGAAGCGGTCTGAGGAAGGTGCCTTGGGCAGCGCCTTGCCGCAAGCAGCCAAGTTGAACCCCTCGTCCGCGCAGCGACTGGATGCCAACCCCACCATATCCTCACGGAGGCCGCGACGAGGCACAGGACGACCGCTTTTCTGCTGAAGCCAGTCCGTCAATCGCTTTCCTATTGCTTGCGACTTCCCGGTGAAGACTCTGCGCCTGCCTCGACTGTCCCACCGCCCGCCCCGTGCCAGAGCCGCCGCCCCGCTTTGTGTCGAAGCAGCTCCTGTCAGTCATCACATTGGCCGCGCGCCTAGCCTTATATCATATCGTGCGCTTGCCGCCCGCACTTCTTCTCCACAGTCCACATTGTCCGACTTCTGCTTCTTCAATCGTTACCTTCTTTACATTCCTCTCTGAAGATAGAAAGGGCCTTACCCCACCGCAGCTGCCACCATGGGCGACCTCGCCAACCGCAAAGTGTTCAAGGTAACGTTATATCCGCCATTCAGGGCCGAGCACGCGTACTGACAGCTTGCAGGTGTTCAACCAGGAGTTCATCGTCGACGAGCGCTACAATGTAACCAAGGAGCTGGGACAGGGTGCCTACGGCATTGTCTGGTACGACTCGAGCCACGGCGCGCCGCATAACAAGTGCTGATTCTGCCCCCAGTGCGGCTACCAACAACCAGACGGGCGAGGGCGTGGCCATCAAGAAGGTCACCAACGTCTTCAGCAAGAAGATCCTTGCCAAGCGTGCCCTGCGCGAGATCAAGCTGCTCCAGCACTTTAGAGGTACGTTGACATGCCACCTGCCGGCTGCAACACTACTAACACCTGCCAGGCCACCGTAACGTAAGACACACATGCTCCCGAGTGCCCCGATCGACCCCATGCTAAACCCGTCGCACAGATAACATGTCTCTACGACATGGACATTCCCCGCCCAGACAACTTCAACGAGTGCTACCTATACGAGGGTATGGCTTACATCCCATGTTCTGATAAGACGTTGCTGATAGGCGTGTAGAGCTCATGGAGTGCGACCTGGCAGCCATTATCCGGTCCGGCCAGCCGCTCACCGATGCCCACTTCCAGTCCTTCATCTACCAGATCCTCTGCGGTCTCAAGTACATTCACTCGGCCAATGTACTCCATCGCGATCTCAAGCCCGGTAACCTCCTCGTCAACGCCGACTGCGAGCTCAAGATCTGCGACTTTGGTCTTGCCAGGGGTTTCTCCATGGACCCTGAGGAGAACGCAGGATACATGACCGAATATGTCGCTACCCGATGGTACAGAGCCCCTGAGATCATGTTGAGCTTCCAGAGCTACACAAAAGCTAGTAAGTGTCACTCTCTCGTGATGGCGTTTGTCGTTGGCATCGACGAACCCGCTTAGACATTTCACATGCCGAGCTCAAGCTGACTCTGCGTAGTCGATGTGTGGTCAGTAGGCTGCATCCTTGCTGAGCTGCTTGGCGGTAAGCCCTTCTTCAAGGGCCGCGACTACGTCGATCAATTGAACCAGATCCTGCACTACCTTGGAACACCAAACGAGGAGACACTCTCACGCATCGGCTCGCCTCGTGCGCAGGACTACGTTCGCAACCTACCGTACATGCAGAAGATCTCGTTCCAGTCCCTGTTCAGGAACGCCAACCCAGACGCACTTGATCTGCTCGACCGCATGCTCGCATTTGATCCCTCAAGCCGTATCTCAGTCGAGGAAGCCCTGGAACACAGGTACCTACAAATCTGGCACGATGCTTCCGACGAGCCTTCATGCCCAACTACATTCGACTTCCAGTTCGAGGTGGTCGAGGAGATCCCGGAGATGAAGAAGATGATCCTGGATGAAGTCAGTCGCTTCCGCCAGATGGTGCGCGTACAACCCGGTGCAGGCGCTGGGGGGAACCAGGCGCCGCAAGTCCCGATACCCAACAACTACGACCGCGCTGGCTACGAAGACCCAAGGCCGCAAGAAGCCTTCAACCAAGGTGGATGGAACGGAAGCGATCTGGAGCGTGACCTTCAGGGTCTTGACGGCCGCATGCGATAAGTGGGTTTGGACGAATCTGTTGGTTGCAAAGATGTCTTCTCGTTGTGTTTGAGCGTGAGCGTGGAGGGATTTGGGTAATATTTGAGCCCCGTGTAATTTCTCTCAAAATCTATTGAATGATTACTATGCTTGATTGACTTTGTAATGATTTGAATACACAAGCAACGATGGTACAGCATTGCTTGGGGATCGTCGACATGCGCGATAATTATCACACGGTACAGGTATCAAGAAGACCATTTAGACGCCTATCAGCTCTGGTACACCCATCATTCATGATACATCGTCGCCACCAGGCCGGTTTCCATATGCTATGTCATCGTTGAGCTGACTGCTATATGAGTTGCCGGCAAGTCTACCTTATCTCCAGTGATTGCCAGTTCACCCCTTCATGCCAATGGCATCCAGCACATCGTCCTCAAGAGTCTCCAACAACCCAGGCGCCTCACCCTTATACCCCCACTTCTCCGCCGCCCTCTCAGCCCTCGTCCGCGAATTACTCGCGAACAAGTACCGCGCGAGCTTCGGAAACGCGGGATAAATAGCAGCCATGCCATCCAGTTCCTCCAAACCGATCTGCACTGGTTCCGCATCCTTGATCACACCGTGTTCGTGAAGAATGCTCCCCACTGCTTTCGCAACATCAATCTGAGAATGCTCTTGCGTGCTCGCGAAATAGTATCCGTTTTCGTTGAAGAACTCACCACTGGAGTCGTCGTCGTCGTCGGAGGTGGAGGTTGAGACAGCGGCTTCCACGACATGCAGATACAGACGCATGAGATCGTTGATATGCACCCAACTCCTCGTATTGGCACCTTCGTTATAGTAAAAAGGTTTCCCGCTCTCCAATCCCTTCGCTGCGTGTATAAAAAAGGGGATAAGCGCACTATGCGTTTTAACTAACCCCTTACCTTTGCCGTAGATATCAGGGGGACACATGATTGCTATCTTGATCCTATCTCCGTACTTGGCTATGGTGTCGTGCAGGATGGTTTCGGTGTTGCGGTGCAGCGCCGTTGGAGGCAAGGACCGGATCTCAGCCAGAGAAGTCTTGTCGGACCATATCTTTGGGTTTAGCAGTCCCAGGTACGATGGGGAGGCCCAGTCTGACACTATTCCTGTGCCGGAGAGGTGGAGGAGGTAGCCTGGAGTAGAGCGCTGGAGGAGACCAGAGATGATGGCGGAGAGACTGGGTTCGTGGTCTGAGTCCCCGCAGTGGATGACGATGTCGGCGGAGGCGGCGGCGGAGGTTATCAAAGAGGTGCTGGAGTAGTCGCCGGTTAGGATGGTGATGTTGGGGTAGGTGGAGGTGAAGGTCTCAGGAGTTCGGCGGAGAAGTACGGTGATGGTGTATGAGGGGTGCGTGGTGTAGAGGGTGTGGAGGACGGAGCCGCCGATGTAGCCTGTGCCTCCTGTGCTGGGCGGGGGTTAGTGGTGGGGATGGGATGTTGGGGGAGGGGGTGGGTGGGCGTGTACAGGAAGATCTTGGGTGCCATGATGATGTTGTTGGTTGATTGACGATATGGGACTGAGTTGAGGTTGATGATGAGATGTACTGTAGTGTTTGTAGGATTTCGAGGATACTTTAAAGGCATATATATAAGTCGGCTACTCCGCTTTGATTGGTAATACAATTCCACTGGTACAGTACTCAGCTTTACGAAATCGTAGCTACAATCGTCATGTAACTACATTGTTTCGTCCGTGATCTAGAGGGTTTGTTTTTTCGACTCTTTTGTCCGGAGTGAAGTGTTCTCGGGACAACATTCAGGCCGGGTGGCTATTGCTAAGGATGGTGTACACGCTATTTACACATGACCGGCTAAGGAGTCTGTCGATGCGAAAGTTCGTCCGTGGATGCTGAGCGTAGATTTGTTTCATCCATGATACCTTTGTTTGAATATTTGGATGCTGAGATGTGGGAATTTTCTGATGATTGCAGATGAGCAGGTTGTGGGCCGTACGTCGTGGGAGCGTAGGTGGTATCAGAGAAGACCTCATGCTGATATGCGCCAGCCGTGAGACCATCTAACTGTGCAGGCTGTGACAGCCGGGTAAGCTCTTTCTTTCATGAGCTGTTCGTAGGTACCAAGGTGGTGTTCTCTACATCGCAGCGATGCTGCAAGCCGCTGAACTGGCCTGTGCGCCAGCCAGGGTCTCTAGCGCGATAATTATTTCTCGGTCTTAGAACTTTTGGCAAGCCGGTGCGCTTCAAGTCGAACTTTTCGCGCCATTGCACAGCACCCCCAAACGCACTATACACCATGTCGCCCGCCGCGATCGAGTCGGGAAATAAGAGGAAGAGGTCTCACAAGAGCAAAAAGAGCGCCGAGCCAGCAATCGCACCAGCGCATGATGGCGTAGACGCTACCAAGGCGCGCAAGAAGGCGCGCAAGGACAAGGCATCTGTCGTCGAAGAGCCAGTGGTAGAAGATGTTTCTGAGGAGGAACAGAGCGATGAGGAAGAAGAAGCGGCAGCAGAGGAAGTCGTCGCCGAAGTCAGTGCTGCAGACGACGACAGCGACAAGGAAGACGATGAAGGCGACAATGACGAGCTTGCCGAACTACCCTCTGGCACGGGCAGCAATGCCGTTGATCTTCCCTCAGGCACCTCGATGCCCTCAGCGAACCCGACGCGATTCGACGAGCTCAACCTGAGCGAACGAACGATGACCTCTATCAAGAACATGGGTTTCGAGAACATGACAGAGATCCAACAGAAGGCCATACCACCTCTGCTATCAGGAAGGGATGTGCTTGGAGCGGCAAAAACTGGCAGTGGAAAGACTCTGGCTTTCCTTATCCCCGCCATCGAGATGCTCTCACAGCTGCGGTTCAAGCCGCGCAACGGAACTGGAGTCATTGTCGTATCGCCGACCAGAGAATTGGCGTTGCAGATCTTCGGTGTAGCGCGCGAGCTCATGGAACCACACAGCCAGACGTTTGGTATCTGCATTGGTGGTGCCAACCGAAACGCAGAAGCCGAGAAGATTAGGAAGGGCTTGAACCTGATCATCGCTACTCCCGGGCGCCTCCTCGATCATCTCCACAACACGCAGGGCTTTGTCTTCAAGAACTTGAGATCGCTCATCATCGACGAGGCAGACAGAATTCTCGAAGTCGGTTTCGAAGACGAGATGAGGTCGATCATCAAGATCTTGCCAACGGAGCGTCAGACGATGCTTTTCTCCGCAACACAGACCACCAAGGTTGAGGATCTCGCAAGGATATCGCTCAAGGCCGGCCCCCTCTATATCAACGTCGATCACCGTGCCGAGCATAGCACGGTCCAGGGATTGGAGCAGGGTTACGTTCTGTGCGATTCAGACACCAGATTCAGGCTTCTGTTTTCTTTCCTCAAGAAACACCAGAAGAAGAAGGTCATTGTCTTCTTGTCATCGTGCGCATCTGTCGACTTCTACAGCGAATTGCTCAACTACATCGACCTGCCTGTACTTGGACTGCACGGCAAGCTCAAACAACAGGCGCGAACGAACCGCTTCTTCGAGTTTGTGAATGCACAGAGCGGTACACTCATCTGCACCGATGTTGCTGCGCGAGGACTAGATATTCCTGAGGTCGATTGGGTTATTCAATTCGACCCACCTGATGACCCGCGAGGTAAACTTGAACGCACGCAATGCATGCGGAGTATATACTGACTTGTCTACAGACTACATCCACAGAGTCGGTCGAACAGCCCGAGGTGCGAACGGCAAGGGCAGGAGTTTGATGTTCCTCTTGCCATCGGAAGTAGGATTTCTCAAGCTCCTCAAAGAGAACCGCGTGCCGCTGGTGGAGTTTGAGTTGCCTTCCAACAAGATTCTCAACATCCAGTCACAACTGGAAGCCTTGATCAGCAAGAACTACTACCTCAACAAGAGCGCAAAGGATGGCTACCGGTCGTACCTCCAGTCGTATGCTTCACATAGCTTGCGGTCGGTGTTCGACGTGCACAAGCTGGATCTCGTCAAGGTGGCCAAATCGTTCGGTTTCTCAACACCACCGCGCATCGACATCAGTCTTGGCGCGAGCTTGAGCCGCGATAAGAAGGTGGAGGGAAGGAGAGCATATGGAAGTCAGCCTGCGCAGGGCCGACGACCGATGAGGGGAGGCAAGAGGTTCTGAGGTAATAGTTGAGAGGCATTGATGGGAGTTTGGCGTACAAAATCACATACGGGCCATGATCTAGGGTTTATAGCTTTGCATGATCTAATTGAGCACCCATGGGGATGTCGATAACTTCAGAAGCGAAATGTGTCAATTTGATGTGGACGTTGGACTTCAAGCAACTCTGTCCCTGACATATATGACGTACTCGGTAGCCCAAATCTAACTGTAAGCGAAAATGAATGTCTTGAAGATTGCCTGTCCGTACAGCGCCACCAAACCGGTGAGAGCTAGCAAGATTCGGGCGCGCAACCACTGAGGCAGCAGAAGCGCAACATTGCTGCGGCCGCGTCAAACTGCCAGTTCACCAAGTCTGCATCCTTCGGAATATTTCTTCTCTAGCCATGAGGCACTTCTGGTATATTACTTGACGGAGTTTTGCCCGTAGCCAGCCAGCCCTACGAGTTACGCAAAGTGCAGAAAGTGTCAGCGCCGCGGCTTGTATGGAGCCCTGGGGGATGCGTTGGCAAGACGCTTTTGTGTTGGTTGGCCAATGACGGAGCGGAGACACTTGGGCAGGAAAGCGGATGCGGCCGCCCACGGGGGTTGCGGCACCATCACCCCTGGTAACGACACGGGTGCTAGAAGCTAGCTAGCTATGTAGTTAGCAGCGAGACGGCCGTCCATGACGGATGTTTGACAGTCTGGCGGTGAGCATTTCACGAGGTTCTGAAGCTGGCTGGGAAATCAGCAAAAAAATGGGATATTGTAGGAGGCTGCATTTGAATCAAGTATGTTGGTGCGCGGGAAGACGGGAGGGGTAAGAATAGAATAGGCGACGTGGTTGCTTTTGGTGCGACCAGCCATCTTTGTTACAGGCGGAAGGTGGAGGGACGGTAGAGGCTGGCATTCGTCGCGCACTTTGCAGTGGGATGCATGGCCAACGGCGTCCACGAGGGACACCAGGCACGCTGTATGGCCTTGACGCGGCCGAGTGGCTGGGGACAGACAAGTCATGATGTATCGCCCGTAGCCCATCGTTGGTTGATACGACGCGACCTGTCGCAGGTGGTTCTATTCACTCTGTGCCCTTTACATCATCTTTCACAACTTTATACCCATCCGTACTATTGCACTAGGATAATTGTAATAATTCTAATAATCCTTCGCCCACCCACGCCATCCTCGATCTGCAAGGTCAACAAGCCTCACCTCCAGCCCGTGTTAGCGCCGACAAGGATTGCTGTTCTCCAGCCGTGACCCAGCCTTTCTCTCCACCACAGCTGGAGTTGGCGACCACCACAGGACGCCTCTCCACCAGCGAAGAGCGCGACGGAGCTGCAGAGCCATTGCTACCTGCGATAGACGGGAGCTGTTGTGCTGCCTGGTCTGGTGAGTCCCGTGACATCTCACATTGCTGAGTAGGTGTCTGACGCTGGCTAGCCTGAACGTCGGCGGCCATTGTCGCAGAGCGTCGCACGCCGCAGAGCTGTGCTGCACGCATTCGACCGGCAACTGGACCTCTCACGTCCCCGTTCACGTCCGTTCACGACCCCCGTCCCGTTCACGCCCGCTATCACGGCTCCTCTCGCACACCCGCCCTCGCTGTTCGCGCACCAGCAACATCCAGGTTGCGCAAACGTAAACAGCCACGGTGCGGCCCTGCACCCACACCATCGCCAACATCATTTCCCTCCCATAACGTCCTCGAGGAAAACGGCGCCGGACATGTCTTCCGTCACCCACCCCGCCTTCTAGAATCTTTCAGATTCTACGATGGTTTTAGATACAGAACGACCTCCTCTTCCGGCACCTACTGAACCCTCGACTCTCGATTCCGCAGACGAATCAACCTACCACATCGACGAAATCAACACCGACGTCTCCAACCGCACCGACAGGACCTCGTACTCCGTCCCCGACGACGGCACCCCCATTACCATCAACACCACCTCGCCCACCAAGCCCCGCGGCCAAGCGAGGCTCTCCCGCAAGTTCCCCTCGCAGACGTCGCTGCTCATTGAGTACTTCGAGTCCGGCAAGGACGAAGGCCAGGCCGGCTCGCGAGGCAGCGTGCGCGTCCGCGTCACCCCATCGTCTCGCAAGAGCAGGCACTCGACCGCGAGCGACAACGTCCAGATCACCCAGACGTCCGCCAAGCGCAACTCCCACGCGCCCTCCTACTCCAAGCGCCTCTCGCTCGCGACCAGCAAGTCGTACTCCGAGCTCTACGACGCGCGCACCGTCGCCTACTCCGACCTCTCCAACATCTCCTCGCTGCCGCCCGTCGACATCGAGCTGCTGCCCAACCACAGCGACCTGTCTACCGACGGCGGCCGCTTCCTCCCCATGCCCTCGGACATATCGTCCATGCCCGCAGACAGCA